GTCAAAAATTTGTAAAACAAAAAACCACTCAACAAATTAAAAATATGCTAACAACAATGAAAGGACTAATAATGGAAAAAAAAAACATTAATGCTAATGTGTAAACATAATTAGTGTAGTGATTAAGTAATAAACATCTACTCAGAGTCGCGTCTATTATTACTGGCGTTTCGATGAGGATCAGCATTTATAACTAGTTTATCCCGTCAGACAAACGTCATCGCCACTTATGCTTTACCCCGCGACTTACGCCTATTCCATACTGCAGTAAAAAAGGACTCACTACAAATAGCCAAAACCCAACCAACCCCAAATTTGTAAAACACCAATATTTTTTTTGATGATATGATATAAAAAGTATAGATTTACTGAACAAACAAAAATAAAAATAACTAAATAAATAAAACACTTACTGCACCACCAAAAGAAAGCATGAACACAAAATAAGTTAGTATACTATATATATTTATTTATATTTTTATGGTAATTTTAATTATAATTAAAACTAAACTAATATAATTGATAGATAAATAAAAGTATACGTTTTTTAGTATTTTTACTTAAGATGTAGAGACCAACAAACTTTTTAGTGAAAAACATGTTTTTTAAGAAATTATTGGGTATAAAATAAATTATTGGGTATAAAATAATTAAATACTTGGTAATAGTTATATTGGTAATAGATATTTAAATTTCAGATACTTATAGTTTTATTAAAGACATTTTGATGCAAACAGGCTTACGTACTGAAACTATAATTTCATTTTAAAACTTTGGCATATAAAGTTCGCCGAATGGAAAAAATTGAAACTATAATTTCTGTACGTATAAAAAAAAATCATAATTTTTTTTAACAAAAGCAGAAACAGTTTCATTAAACAAACATAAAGTTTCATTTATTTTATTTCATTTACCACCTAAGTAAAAGATAGGGAAAATAAGGAATTTAAAAAAAAAAAATTTATTTAAATTTTACTGTCTTGCCTTAACTACACTGACAAACATGAATTCCAGGGTTCGAAGTGAGCTCTGGACAAACTTTGAGCCAGCTGTAAGGAAAAAGCCGTGAACTTTCTCTTTAAATGCACTTCCGCGGTTTTTTGTGAAAAGACCGATAAGTTTTCTTGGAGCGCCTAAAAAATAGTATTATTATCTGCTTTTTATTATAAAAACTATTATTATCTACAAATTATTAGAGGCTTTTTACCAAATAATTTATTTACATAATTTCCTTATCGGGAGTTAAACACTCTCCTCCTCGAGATGGTCGTTTTTAAAATCCATGATCTAAATCGACGTTCGAACCTCTAGATAAAAGTTTTTTTAGATAGCCAGTGCTTGATGAGATAATAGTTTTTTTAAGAGGAACGCTCTAAAATCATTGTTTTTTCAGTAAAAAATGTTCGAAAACATAAGTTTGTATCATTGGATACAACATCTTATTCAATATTTGTTAAGTCAGATTTAAAGTTTTCTTTATTGAAGTTTTTAATCCCGCTATATAAATTGTGTTTAGGTGGTATAATAAAGTTAACGTGTAATAATACGTGTAATAAAAAATGTATTGAAATTGGTAGAAATTCAAAATTGAGGTGAGTGATCAGAAATAGAAGTTGTCAAATTATCTGAAATAATTTTATTATTTATTAAATTAGAAAAAATATTATCAATGATTATAGCAGAGTGATCAGTAAATCTAATCGTCAAAGTAATAAAAGACCAATATTCATGGCGTACTTTATAACAGACCTATTCACCGTGCGTGAATAGGCCGGTTATAAAGTACATAGAGTCAAAGTGCTTGCTAAATTATTTTATCAATTTTTAAATTTTTATTTTACTTTGGTCGTAAATTTTGTGTCACAAATTGCTACAACAATTATGATAAAAGTTCTAAAGAAAAAACTTTTCGTCTTCCTCGGACACCAGAAAAAAGAAAAAAGTGGTTGGCTGTAATACCAAAAGACAACATACCAGATAAGAAAGACACCATTGTTTGTGAAAGGCACTGGCCTGTTGGATAAGTATTGACAAAAGATAATGATAATAATAATAATAATAATAATAATAATAATAATAGCAATAATAGCAATATATATATATATATTTTTTTTAAGTTTATAAAGGTGCCCCAAGAAGTCCTTACGGTCTTATCACAAAGCACCGCGGAAGAGCATTTATTAGGAAGTTCACGCCTCCTTCCGCTAAACTCGCCCAGAGGTGGGGTTTGAACCACGGATCTTACGTTTCTGAGGCAAGTGCGCTACCACTGCGCCACGGCTGCTATAAATAATAATGCAATAATAATATATTATAATAATATAAGATTAAGAAAAAAAATTTACAAACTATAGTAATAGTAATAATAAGTATGTTTACAATAATTACAATGAAAAAATAATAATAATAACTAATATTATAATGGTAGTTGCAAGCATAAAATTATTTATAATAATAAGTAAATGATTTATTAGAATGGTGTCACCATACAGAAATCTGATCAAAGGAGTGACACCAAAACCGTAAACACACAGACCAAAGCACATAAAATATGCATCAAAACAAACATGTAAAAATCAATTTGCAGGTTTTAATAATAAAAAAAATAAAAAAATATATATAAAAAAAGGACTGATGATGATTGTAGAAATGACGAAAAAAGAATTAAAATCATATTTTAATTGAAAGGATTCCTCAAAAATAGAATAAAATATTTTTCAGAATTTTTTAAAATTGATATTGTTTAGATGGAGTATAGGTATTTTAGGATATATTTTTTTGGACTCATTCAAAATGCATGCAAGGCTCCTGTCCCATTCAGACACACTGATAAACAATAGAATGTTTGCCATACTTCTGGGTTTTAAAAGATGGTACATTTAGTTTTCTATTGTGTATATGTCTACTTTCTGTGAACAAGTTTGTGATAGGAGATAGTATGTTTTTATTTAAGCCAAAAACAAAAAGAAGATTAGCATACTTTACTAGCGCTGGAAATGTTGGAATGAAAGGTTTTTCGAAGGACTCTGATGTATCTGATTTAATTGGTTGGAAGTTTGTTAATCTGATAGATTGACGCTAAGAAGGTACAACTTATTAATGTGATGGTTTCCAACTTGACCATAAACTTGACAACAATAGCTAAGATGAAATGAGAATAATGCATAATAAATATTCTTAAGTGTAACTTTATCGACATAATGACGAATTATTGAAAGCATACCGTTAGCTCGTTATAGTTTCTTGCTTAGTTCATCAATATGAAAGTTCCATGAAAGATTGCCATCAATTATTACACCAAGATATTTATCAACTCTTGAAGGATAAAGCCGTTTATTATCAATTTTGATTTCAACATTTTTAAAGAAATTGTTTTTTTTTTGGAAATTAGTTCAGTTTTTTTGGTGTTGAGACATATTAGGTTAGCATTTAACCAGTGAACTATACCTTTTAGATCCGAATTAACATTTTTACATAAAAAATGATACGATTTGTTAATATGCAAGAGATTTGTATCATCAGCAAACAGATAAACTGAAGAGAAGTGAACAGAGTTAATTAGGTCGTTAACGTAGATATAAAACAAAAGTGGACCTAGAACAGAACCTTGAGGAACACCACACAAAACTGATTTATTACTAGAATTGAAACCATTAATACTTACAAATTGTTTTCAATCTGAAAGAAAAGATCGAAATCAGTCATTTACAATACCGCGAATTCCATAATGTTTTAATTTAGAAATCAAAATACTATGGTCAATGGTATCGAAAGCTTTTTGTAAATCGATAAAAGCACCACAAATGAAACGACCAGTATCAAGAGCTTTCTTGATTTTTATTAATGCATGGCAAATAGAATGTTTAGATCGAAAACCAAATTGAAAATAATTTAAACAATTAAATGGGTTTAGAAAAGAGTGAACTCTAGAATACATAAGTTTATCAAGAAGCTTACTAATGTTAGATAAAAGAGAAATAGGCCTTGTAGTTAGTGCATGAAAGTTTAAAGCCATTTTCAAATATTGGAATAACGCAAGATAATTCATAACAACGCATATTATTTCAAAAAGGAAGTATAAAAGACGTCAAAATGCTATTATTTGAGTGTATCAGATCAATATTATAATCACCGTTTAAGAAAACAGATTTATTTTCAGATTTAATTTTTTGAAGTAGGACAAGCTAAAAATACTGATATCTACGCAAGGGTGTCAATAAACGCAACCAACATTAATATTACACTTATTAGAAAAAATAATTTCAACTAATGTGAATTCTATGAACTAGGTGTGTAAATCATTAAATAATATCTTCATTTGTATATTAATTTTTTTGATATATATAATAATGTATCACAAAAGGATTCAGTTGGTGTGCGCTCAATGTTATAATTATCAATGAGAATCGGATGAATTAATGATGTTTATATTTTTAATCTTGTTTTAGTTATACCAATAAAGGAAAAATCAAAATTAATTTATGTTTAAATCCAGTGTTTTTGTAAAGATGATATGTTGAGACAAAAAAAGCGCTTTTCTTTATTAAAGTTAAATATACAAAATTTGTATATTTAACTTTAATAAAGAAAAATATACAAAATATCGTAATATTTACAAATTATTAAACAAATCAGAGATTTCTTCATTGGAATTGCAAAACACAAGATGAAACATAATTATTAATTCGATTAGAAAACTTTAAGTGAAAAGACACAAAACCGTCAGTTCTAAGAGTTATATCAGAAAAAAATAGTAGTTTAAACTTGTTATCTGGTTCATCTGTGAACGGAAAAAAACTCTTAATACAGTTTACAAAAATGTAACCAATTTAAATGCAAAACATGTTCTTAAAGAATTCACAAGAAAAGATCTTATTTGTAAATTTCGTTAAGTTTTACTTTTGAGTAAACATCCGTTACACCATGCATTTTTGAGAAAACAAAAGTTACAGGCACCCGCTACGTGTTTTTTTATTTACAAACCAAAAAATAAATTCAAATTAATGAAGGTGCGAGTTTTTCTATTTTAAGTTATATAGGTATTAGGCATAATGATGCCATAAACAACTTTACCTATATAACAGTCATCCAAAAATAATACAAGTAAAAAAAAAAAAAAAAAAATTGTTTTATGTTAACGGAACAACATGAACCACTGAAGCGTATGCTATATAACTGGATACGGAGGCGGAGGAGGTTCAATTACCCCTAAAATAAAAATAATACATAATAATATCTACAATATATAAAATTATAGAATGCTATCATGAAAAGCATAAAAACAACAACACAACAACAATGATTGGTTCTTTTTTTTTCTTTGAAAAATTTTAGTTAACAACTTTTTAGTATTTAAATAATTTAGTTAACCATCTTTAAGTAATAAAAAATTTTAAAAATTGATAAGTTAATTAATAGCTTTAATAACTATTAAGGTGAGTTTATGTTTGATTCTTGAAAACGCTACAAAATATGGAGTCTTAAAAAGACTACAAAAAGAACTAATATTACTAATATAATATACTATATAATAATTACTAATATAACAATTTTAAAAAATGCAGTAATATGCATCAAAGGACTAGACCGAGCTGTCAAGCCCAAGTGAAATAAGGAAAATTTATTCTCTCTGTTTCTAATTTCACCCAAGTGAAATTAGAAACAGAGAGAGAATAAAAAAATAAAATAAAAAAGTATTAAGAACAGATGTTCAGAGCAAAACAAAGATACTAAAGTAAAGTATATATAAAAAAAAAATAAAAAAAATAAAATAACAATAATGATTATATAAATTATATATATTATCGCGCATGTAATAGAAATAATAAACTCAGATTCTAAATGGAAAATCACAACCAAGGTGCAAGGTATACAAAAAAAGAAAGTTAAACATAATACGCTCAGAGCGGGAAAATTGAACCTGGAATTCAATGGTTACCAGGTTGACACTCTAACGGATAAGCTATAGATGCTCACATATAAACAAGATAATAAACGTAATAAAATAATAAAATAAACAATAAAAGTAAATGACAATAAATAGCATACATACATACATACACACTTACATATATACATATACATACATATATATACATATATACACATAAAAAAACAAAAAAATAAAAAAACAAATGGGGAAAGCAGAAGGATAATAAAAATAATGGTGTTGAAAGATCCAATTGAAATTAAGTAGTGAACTAATGTAGGTGAAACTCCATCCTCAGGGCCACAATATATTCACCAATGATGTTTCGGAGAGTATGATAAAAATGGCATCACTCGTCGTGGTATCCTTGCTATCTCTATCATCGCCTGTAGCCTACATCATATAACTCATTATTGCAATAAAACGGACCTCACTACAGAATAGCCAATCACCCATACCCCTACCAAATTTAGGCAATGCCTATAATTTTTAGAAAAAATAGGGATATAGAGACAAACATGCACAAAAAGTATATATCATAAATCTACTAACGATAAACAGTAACATTAAGTGTAAAAATAAAAAAAAATAAAACAAAAAATAAAAAATATTATTAGTGTAAATACACATAAGGATATAAAAATTACAATATATGTAAGTATCTTACCATGCTCGATAAGTAAATAAAATATTTTTAAGATGAAACTGAAAACAAAACTATTATCATGAAAAATAATATCTAAATTGAAGACATAGCAGCGCTTACAACAACAAAGTGACTTAGCGACGTCAAACGAATAAAAAATACGAGCAATACTATTGGCTAAAAACATGCTCAGGGGAAATTAATAGTTAAACAGTAAGAGCCTGAAAAATGATCTAAACGTAAATAAATATATATAAAAACAGTATAATAGATATGGCTGTATGACTAATGCAAAGATAATGACGTATTAAAAGTAAACAGACTAGTAATATATACAGACATCAAATAACTAAAATATTCAAAAAATGGTCTAAACTTTGTATGTACACATTATACATGGGCCGAATGTATAAAAATAATTTAATCGATGCTCTATTGAAATAGGTAGGTGTGGGTATCAATATAAATATTTCTGCGAAAGAGGGGTCATCTCAAATAATATGCCAATGCTTCACTACAATGTTATTGATATCTCTACCAATTTCACAATAAGGAGTCACTATTGGTAATATATCTGCATCTATATTCTTGGGGGGTTTGTTAATTAGTTTATTTTGATTAAATTGTAATGCTTTAGTAAATTGTAAGTTGATATCTTCCACTTTGAATACATTCATATCTGTCTTTGTATAGTGACATGTCCAAAAAATTAATTGAAGTGTCAGATTCATTAAAAATAAATTTAATAGTTGGGTGGATTCCATTCATGAAGTTATATACCTCATGTAATTCTTCCATAGATCCATAAAACAAGAAAAAGATGCCATCAATGTAACGTTTATAAAACTTAATTGAATTTGGGAACTGGGTTCGAACTTTATCATCTAATATACCCATAAACAAGTTAGCATATGGCGGTGCCATTCTTGCACCCATTGATGCACCATCAATTTGTTGGTAGAACCTATTAGCAAATTGGAAAAGGCTAGATGTAAGAATGGTTTCTAAAATTATACAAATATAGGCTAAAGGTGGGCATAATGGTGATCTCTGATAAAATGAAATTTGTTTCATATAAAAGATGGTAGCTTCAATTCCTTCTTGATGTGGGATATTGGTATAGAGTGATGTGACCGCTGTTACAAAAATATAGTTAGTAGAGGTGAATTGGTGGGATTGAAGCATATGAAGAAAATGAGAAGTATCTTTGATATATGAAAGAAGAGATTCTGCCAATGGTTGTAAAAAGTGTGTAATGAATTTAGATAAATGGTCCGTTGGGCCATTACACGCAATAGGTCATAATGGTAACATGAAACAATAGGTCATAATGGTATACCCTCTTTGTGAGTTTTCGGTAATCCGTAAAAAATAGGGCAGCGACAGGGTGTATCAGGTTGTAAAAAGTTTGCTGTTGTTTCGTTGATTATGTAGTGGACAGCCGTGTAGCCTATTAGAGTGTTAATATCATTTATTATTTTTGCCATTGGATTATGGGGCAGGAGTTTATAAGTATTAATATCATTTAATAGTTGGTTTATTTTATTCTCATACTCTCCCTAATCTAAAATACAAACCCCACCACCTTTATCTGTTCTTTTGAATATGATATATCAAATGCCTTAAATATATAAAGCAAAAGTTGAAAAACGAGGTGGAAAACGTAAGACTACTGCACAAGAATCTGAAGAATTGTAAGATAAGTTAAAAGTAAACCATTTTCATCGGCCAAACAAGTCAAAGATGATCTTGAGTTACATGGGAGTGACACAACTGTTTATTTAATATTAGTAATATCAGTTCTTTTTGTAGTCTTTTTAAGAATCCATATTTTTGTAGCGTTTTCAAGAATCAAACATAAATTTACCTTAAAAGTTATTAAAGCTATTAATCAACTTATCAATTTTTAAAATTTTTTATTACTTAAAGATGGTTAACTAAAATATTTTAATACTAAAAAGTTGTTAACTAAAAATTTTCAAGAAAAAAAAAGAGAAAGTTTTCAAGAACAAATTTAAAATAAATAAGTGTTACCTGTATTTTGCTGTTGAGGTAGATATTGTTGCGGTGGGGCTGCTAAATGTGGTTGAAAAGGTGCTGGATATTGGGAAGGAGGACCTGGATATTGTTGATTAATGGCTTGATATTGCTGAGGAGGTGGATACATCAATGGTTGCTTGAGTCCATCATTGCATGGAGGATATGCTTGCTGAACAGGGTATGGACTAGGATTAAAATTTTGCTTAGAGTTGTGCACTTGCGGATTTGATTTAATGTTAGGATTAATTGAATCTGGAACTGAGTTAGCTACTGCACTGTATTGAAGAGTTACATTTTTGTTAGAGTGTGAAAGACGCCTTCTTCGAATATATTGATGTACAAGAAATAAAATAACACCAATTACAATAAATACTACAGGAACAACATACTTTGTTATATTTTGTTTCAAGTAAATCTTAGGAAATCCTGAAATCAGAAAGTAATAACGATAAAATATAAAATTAATTATTAACTAATTAAGAAAAAAAACGGAAGGAGAGAAAAAAACATTAAAAAACAAAATTATGATTTGGAAAATTTTTAAATCAAATATATAAAAAATGTAACAATTTGGAAAAACTTTTTTTTAAAAAAAAGATAAAAAACAAAAACTCAAAATAAAAACTATTTTCACCTTATTAGTAAAGGAGTATTTTTTATGGAAGAAAACCTATTGTTCATATCTAAATCAATCTTTTTACAAACATCTGAATAGTTTAAAGCATATTTTATCAATATATCAGGGTGACGATGCCTCTTAAAACTTTTAAAATTTAATAACACTCAAAAAACTTTATAAAAAGTTTTCTCTAAAACATGGGTGACTTTCTAAAATATTTCTAATTTATTTGTCCTAGCATAATACATAAACTGTTGGCAGCCAACGGACTATAAAGTTAAGGAAACTATTAAGTCAAAGAAATGGCTAATTACTTAAGCCATAAGTAATAGGCCATTTAAAATTTGTCTATGTACGAATATGTTAAAAATTAAATTTAAAATTTGTGTTACTTATTTTATATACATATAATTTTTCTGTGCTCTGTCAACTGCTTTTGATCTTAAAAACAAATCTTTACTTATCATAGGGTCCATCCCTTAAGTACGTACGCAGGTATAGAGAAGGGGATTTCCCAAAAGCATACGAACGCGTACAAGAAAGGGGGGGAAGGGTATTAAAGACAGTGAGTACGTATGTGGTTTGACTCTCCTAAACTACTGAATGCAAACTGGTTTTTTCATTTCTCTTAAAATGTTAAAATATCTTGTATTATTTTAAGATTTAAATGAGTATATTAAGTAACATTTTAAGTTTTAATTAAGTACAGATAAATGTCAAATAAGTTAATATTTTTTTTGTTTTTAATGTTTTGAAACCTTTATGTGTTGGGGAAGAAAGAGGGGAGGGTCTTTATTTAAAAAAAAAAAAATGCGTACGTACGCAGAGGGAGAGAGAAAGAGGAGACTTTATGGATGACCCATATATTTTTGACCAATATAATTATGACCAATATAATTGCTATTTTTAACTGATAAAATTGTATAATTTCTAGCTAAAATAATGTAAGTAGTTAATGGAGTGCTTTTAAAACATTCAAAACTCAAAGTTCAAAACAAAATTTTTTACAGAGTGTTTTGGAGATGTGCTATATTTAAATAAAAATTGTGAGATCAGAGCTTGACCAGTTTGTCTGCCACTTCAACGAACCTTAAAACCAAGTTGTCAAGAACAGTCAAATAGATTTGGATTTTAGATATTGGGACTCATTATTAAAGATGCTAAAAACAAGATATAACAATTCTTATATTCTGCTAAACCATGCATGAGTATGCATTTATGAAAATATAACATAATATAAAACAAAACAAAAAAAACAAAATTGACCATTGTAAACTTATTGACAGAAAAGATTTAGATTCGGATATTTAAATATAATTTTTTTAAACTTTTAAAATTTTTTTCTGAATGTTACTCAGCTTAAGCTAAAAAATGGAATTTTTAAACTTTTTAATTAAAATTTTCAAATTTAAATATTTCCATTAAGGTAAAAAGAATATATTTTTATTTTCAAATTTAATGCAATTGCTAATATTATGTTAACGCTAGATTTGAAAATTAGGACATTAGAAGAAAATATAAATAATTATTATACCTCTGCCTCTCCAAGCTGTAATCCCAATGACAAAACCTCGATTTGAAGTCAATCTTTGATAGTTTAATATATCCATTTGGACTTCCAAATTAGAATAATCAGTTGTAATTGAAAATGGTTTTTTCTTCTGACAATAGTTCCATTTTTTTGGAGAATTGATTCCTTTATTAACATATAAGTAAAAGAAATCCTGAGAAATTGATGAAATAATTTATTTATATTTAATAAAAAAATATAAAATGAATTAATTTCCTCAGCTGCACAAAATATTATCAAATTTAGAATTTAGAGGTAAAGAGTTATAAAAGAATTGAAACAAAAAATAAAAAAACGTTAGATTCTTTGACTGTAGTGGTCCCCTCTGCCTTTGGAAAGTAAATGCAGTTAAAAAATTCAATATTATCTATAAAAAAGCATGCGCAAGTTACAAGAAAATAACATGCATGTTAAAAGAAATTAACAAGTAAGTTAGGAGAAAGTAATGTGTAAGTTATAAGTATTATGTAAGTTACTAGTTACAAGAAAATATAGAAAAGTTTTGAGAGAAAGAAATCAGAATTTAAAAAACAAATTGAATCAGAAAAAACATTAAGATAAAAAAAAGTTTCAATAAAAAAAAAAAGATAAAAAAAAGTTTTTAAACCATAATCAAACAGTTACAGTAAAAAGATGCAACTTGGTTAAATGGTAAGTCACAAATTATTGTTCTTTGTTGGTGTAATAAGAGTTTGCTTGAGCAGTGACCATTGTATATTTGTAGAAAAGTGAAAGAGGTGTACAGCTACACAACAATAGAAAAGAGACTCAAGCTTTAATTATTCCAGGTCAGATCAGGTTTAGATTCATCACAATCACCCTGCCACTGGCATCATATAACCCATTACTATCTGCCTCATGCTGCCTTGTAGGGTGTGCTTTATTAGGCAAAAAAAAAGTCTTCTGTCAATTATTTCCTTGCTCTATAACTCTATTCTTTTTTTCTAGTAACCCTTAACTCAATACTGGTTGCTTGCAACCTTGTTGGGAGTGAATCATAATAATAATATTGATTAAAATAAAATTTTTGACCGTGAATACAGGTAAAACTAAGTTAAGGCGTTTTTGAACCATGATTAAAAGAGAATGAACATCATTAGGAAATCTATCCTTATTATAAACAGAGTATTTTATATATAGATGGATAAAAAATATATAGAAGTAGAGAATGTAATCAGAAGTAGCAAAATGACAAGCACAAATCCTTCAATGTCCAGAGTAACAGCCCACGTCTCACCACTTCTATATAATGTCATCATGCACATAACAACATTTTTCTTATTGGAGTGGACTAAACACCATATTGATTGTCAGATAGTAAGTAGCTGGATTTAAATTTAGATATTAGAAGTTTATTAAGAAAAGAACACAAAGATCTTGCATACAATAGTAAGTATAATAAGATCGATTAGTAAAGGGGATAAGAGTAAACTTTGTGACTTTTTTACAAAATTTAGGTTAGTTAGGTTAACCTAACTAAAGTACACCGACAAAGTTGTGATTGGAGTTTACTTAACATGAACTTTTTCTCAACTTTCTTTGTCGTCATTTTACCATAAACTTTCATTCAACAAACTTTCATTCAACATAAACTTTCATTCAACAAACATATTACCATAAACGTCATATTACCAAAATCTTTATCGTAAATATTACCATATAGGTTTTGTGGTTTATCCTAAGAAGATGAACTTTAAGAGATGAACTAGATGAAAAATTCTTTGCACACATTTCTATTTTATTCTTGGGAGTGATTATAAGATCAGAACCATGTGCTAAATAGAAATGGAATGCTAGACTTGCTTTTCTTATGGATACTCTTCTAATGATGCCCTTTCTCTTTTAGACAAGGTACAAAAACGCATTGTAAACATAGTTGGACCTGCTCTTGCAGCCAACCTACAACCTTTGTCACATCGTCGTAATGTTGCTTCTCTTTCTCTTTTCTACAAATACTATAATGGGCACTGCTCTAAAGAGCTAGCATCTCTCGTGTCATCTACTAAAATTCATTCTCGTGCTACTCGTCATTCAATTAAGTCTCATCCTTTTTCTGTTACTGTTCCTAAGTGCTCCAAAAACTCTTATTCGTCTAGTTTTTTCCCTCGAACATCAGTTCTTTGGAATTCACTTCTTTCATCTTGCTTTCCTGATTCATATAATTTGCAATCTTTTAAGTCGTCTGTCAATCGTTATCTTGCTCTACAATCTTCATCTTTTCTCTTCCAGTAACTTCCAACACTAATTTATGGTTGCTTGCAGCCTTGTTGGAAGCGAAGATGTTTAATGAAAAAAAAAAAAAAAAAAAACTTATAAAGATTTTTCAAAAGTCTCTAAAACCTAATTTTTTGAGACAAAACAAAAAACTTTAAAACAGTTATCTAAAAATATTGGACCATAGTGTGGTAGATTATATATTCTTACATCAATTTCTTGTGATGAAAAGATATTTTCTCTCAATAGATTTGTGAGAAAGCTGAAAGAAATGCTTGCAATTAGAAACAGTAGCTACACATGAAGAAAACTATGAGGAAATGCAAAGCTTTAAACGGACAAGAAAGAATAAATTCTTCCATGAATTCCTGAATCAAGAGAATCACATTAAATGTATAATTAAAGGAAGGAACAGCTTTAAAGTAGTATTAAAAAGTGATCTGAATCTGATGTTGAAGGAAATAGAAGTTTATTTAAGGTTATAGGATGATTTAAATCAAGAAGAGACTTATAACAAGGAAAAAGTTCAGCATGAGCTAGGATCAGAAACAAGAAAAAATCCAAGGAGCAAAAGGAAGCGATTCACATGGTCTAAAAAACAATCCAGAAAGTTAATTATAAAGAAGAGGTATTGAAAGGATGAAAATGTTGACCTCTAGCATCACCAATGTTTGCACAACTAAGCCATTCAGCATAATTTGGATTTAAATCACCATTAACAACAATATTACAATATGGTTAAAAAAAAATGACTTGTTCAATTTGATCAGAAATAATATTGAAAAGAATGCAGTCCTGGGAAGGAGAACAATATAGAACAAAGTATCGGTAATTGAATGACACCAAAACTGTTTCAAACTATCTTTTGAAAATATTTATGAGAGATATTTTTAACTACTATAGCTAATAAAAATAAAAAAGATAGAAAAAATTAGATTAAAAACAACAACAAAAACAACAAAATAGATAAAAGCAAACTGTATACACAGCTTGCTTTGAAAACACCAATTGGTTTTTCTAAGTATCGCTTACGTGATTATATTCATTTAAATATTATGAAAATGGTTATTGATAATGGATAAAACTCTTTAGGTGGAATTTCTTTTTAGATTGTTTTTTGTGACGTGTTTATTTTATGATACGTTAAATAAATTAGTTAATAGTTTTTAAGTTTAATAAAGTTTTTAAAAAAATTGAAAAAATATTAAATTTAAAAAATTAAAAAATACAGAAACACTGAAAGTTGCCTGATACTTATCTTTCAACCCAAATTTGAAGCTAAGATCAATTTAACCTTAATAACGCACTCTAAAAGAACTAGCTGGGACACCACCCATACGCAGCAAGGCACTCTAAATACACCAATAATTTTCAATTGTTGGAATTAGCCTCTTTGAGGGCTACCTCAGAGAGGTACCTGAAAAAAGCTTACTACAAGTTAGCCTCAGAACCATTAAATTAAGTTTTAAAGATAAGTACAAAGTTTTAAAGATAAGTACAGAGATAAAAAAATTAGGGAAGAGACGAAGGATAAAAATATAAAAAAAATTAAACAGATGATCAAAACAAAATAAAGGCTCTGCAGTAAAACATGTAATAAAAAACATTAATAGAATATAAGCAACACACATGCAATAGGAACAATAAAGCCAGACTTTTCAAAAAAAAACCATGAACCAAGCATAAAATCTTAAAGCAACATATAAAAAAAAAATTATGTGCTTTTGGTAGGAGTTTAGGTTCTATCAGATTGTGCTGTATATATAAATGTAATAGACAAAATATAATGAGTCAGAAAACAAAATAAAATAATGAAAATAAAATGAGACTAAATGCAAAAACAAAACAAAATCAAATTACATAAATGTTCATATATATATATATATATATATATATATATATATATATATATATATATATATATATATATATATATATATATATATATATATATATATATATATATATATATATATATATATATATATATATATATATCTACAGTGGCAGATATATACATGTGTCCAGTAAATTTTTAATGAAACTTTTTGCTAAATTAAACAGAAACACCAAATAATTGCTCTATATTTGTACAGTGTTTACCTTTTTCATAAAGTACAATAAATAGCCAATCGAGAACTGGAAGAATTACTAATACTTAGTATGTCCACCCTCGGCTAAATGCATCGAGGTATAGACTCAATAAGATCTTGAAGGTGTTGTGGAGTGATGTTATTCCAAGCATTTTGTAGCAAGTTCTAAAGTTCATCCTGATTGTGTGGCTTTTTACCCCTGATTAACCTGAACAGGATTTCCCATACATGTTCAATCAAATTCATATCTGGGCTCTGGGGTGTAATATATATTTATATAGCTATAGAGCTTTTGTGCTCAAGCCTTTTCGCGCTTGCCCACGCACCCACAAAAACTTTGTTGAGCACATGAAAAAGCACTTCCCTAAAAAATAAGTGTTTTTTTTTAAATTTTAACAATTCTTTTTTTGTTTATTAAATACTTTTACAAAAAATCGTGAAAGCACTTATATGTATAAATTATTACTTCTAGAATTTAAATAAAATAATTGTTTTATTTTGCTGTTTTTAATATTATTTTATTTAGAATTTAAATAAAAAATTTGCTTTTCCTTTTTTATTATAATTATTTTGTGTAATTTTTATATTAAATGTTTTTTATTTATTTTTTTGCCTTTTTTATTTTAACTATTTTTTAAAATACTTATTTTTTTTTTTTTTTTTGCTGTTTTCATTTTAATTAATTATATAAAATTTAAAAAAAATGTTTGTTTTGGCAGATTTTTAAAAAATTATTTCATTTAGAATTTATTCGAAAGCATTCTTTTCGCTATTTTTATTTTAATTTAAATAGGGAATAAATATAGATTTTTAAAAACAGGCACGTCAGCCTCAAAATGATTGCTTTTTAGTGCACTGACATTAAAATTTGAATGGAGAATATTGATGTGTATATATATAATAATAATAATAACAACAATCAGGGGCTATTCTAGACCATTTATGACAGCATCAACTGTATTTGACACAGCCAAAATTAAAATTTGAGGACCTTTAATTTTTTTTGTAACATTTTTTAAAGCAAATTTTTTTTCTTCTTGCAAAAGTATTGTTGGTTTTCCGCTAAAGTTCGCCCAAATGAGGGGGTACTGCCACCCACATTTTTTTCCTAGAATAGGCCCTGACAATAAATATGTATTATTTATATATTTATCAAATTTATATATTCTGTATGATAAATATATAAATTTGATAAATATATAAAAAATACATATATATAATAATATGTATTATTTATATATTTATCAAATTTATATATTTATCATACAGAATACAGAAACAATTTTTTTTCTAGATGGGTTCTAGATGGAATTAAAAAAAGATTATTAAAGTATAAATATTAAAACAATTCAATCAAAACATTCTATTCACTTTATAATGCAGCAGCACAGTTTAAATTATATATACTTGGCATCAAAACTTATAATTTTTGATTTTGTAAAAAAAAAAAAAAAACCTTTTATGAATAATTTATCTTTGCAAGAAGTGTTTTCATGATAAATATCCAAATCCATGACATTAAGTTTAATTATGTCCATAGCATCTTCAGTGTTAACAGACCATTTACATTTTTTTATTGACTTTTTATAGGTGAGTGGCCAGTATGGACTGATAATCAATCCAGATGAAAATTTGTTAGCAGAGGAACTAAATAAAAAAAAAATGTTTAAAAGAAACTAAAACCACACATAATTAAAAATATCTAAAAAATAGTCATGCATTCATGCTTTGGAGCTGCTCTGGAGCTGGAGCTAGAAGTATCTGGAGCTGGTGTTTTACAATGAGCTGAGCCAGAGCTAGAGCCAAAATATTTCGAGGTGGAGCTGCCCCTGAGCTAGCTCTTCTCTTTGATAATTTGGAAGATTAAAGTATGAGTATCTTTTGCTAAAGGGATTCCTTAATATTATGAATTTATATTTTTATTTGAAAACATCATTTAATTAAACTGTAATTAATTGTCATTTAAAGTTTTATGATTTCTAAAAAAAAATTTTATGTGTTAATATTGATATTGAATGTATAGATCGGCTGTTAAATATTTGATGCTAACCTTGTAGCACTAGGAAATTTCATATTTTAAAAATTATACTTGAGTTGATGAATACAAAATTGTTTTTGTATACATTTAAATAAGTGCTAGAGTTTTTTTAAAAATTAGTTTTGATCAAATTGTTTTTTATAATATGTCATGTGGTTTATGTTGCTGCATATGATAAGTTACTTTAAAACAATAAGAACAACTTTGCTTTTAAATAAAAATTCAGGTGATGAAAATTTTCTAGATAAAGCTATACTGGATGAAGAACATGTGGAGTATTTACAACAGGATATGAACAAGGGAAAAAGTGCAGGAATTTGGGAAAAAATCTAACCTTTGTTCTTCAAGAAGGGTGTAAACATAAGATTTAGATGATGTGCTGTGTTGTTTACACTTTACAGTTAGCTAATTGTGATGCTTTAAAAGAAACATTCACTACCCAACTTTTGACAAGAGTCTAGTATGTTGTGAAAAATCTAAGAAATTCATAATATATTTCTAGCTGCAGTTTATGTTGATGCTCGATGTTGAATACTATTAGAAGAGAATCAGATATATGAGCAAAACAAGACTTAAAAGCAATAGCAGAAAAAACTTATAAAAGAGATGCCAAAAATATAAAAGTAAGTCAAGAAATAAGAAAAACAGTTGAACTGTCAACAGCACTTTATTCAGTTTTAGGTGAACCTAATTTTGACAAAGAAGATAAGTTTAAAAATGAGGTTAATGAAAAAGAAAAAAGAAGTGTTTAACAAAAGTTAGGTTTTTCAATAAAAATATTTTTAGTACAAATTTCATGGATGACTGTATGGTATGGAAGAAAAGGAACATTTGAAAGTGAAATCAGCTTTGAAGGAATTGAAGAACAACCAAAACGATACAGAGGTGTATCGAGTAGTCACTTCTATAGCTTTCTCACAAGCAAGTGTGGAGAGGCTATTTTCTGCACTAAAGTTTATGAAGCAATCTGTGTTCCTTACATAACCTGATGTTTTATAAAATATTTGATTTTTTTAAATTTATTCTTCCTGGAGCTGCTCTAGAGATGCTTAAGAAGCAGAAATTTTTTTTTTTAATGGAGTTGGAGCCTGAAGCAGGAGCCAATCTTCGACCTCTACTCCAAAGCCTTGATAATTATCAGGTATGTTATATATATTTTACAATAATAATAATGTTATCTTTAATAACAGCTAAAAATGAAACAAAATCAAAATATAATTAATTCTTTAAAAAAAAAAAAAAACATATCAAACCTATAAATGTACTATGCAGCCATATATGGATACTAATATGCTGATAATAATGTATACTAAATAATTTATACTAATATGCACATAACTATGTATGCATACAATGTAATGCACATTATTATGTAGATAACTATGTATGCATACTAGTAATGTAATGTACTAGAAATGCAATATTTTTGCTCTTAAAGCAGTTTTTTTAATGAATTGTTTTCCAACCATTGACTAAAAAATATTGAAGTAAATAAGGAATAAGTATAGAAATAATTGGGGTGAAATAGTTAAGTATAGAAATGGTCAGTTTGGTCAAGACCCATATTTTTACTTGTCCGGTTGGTTAGTAATAATAACTGTTCTGTTTATTGGCATTTTGAACAAGGGCAGAAGCAGTACTTTTTGTTTGTTTGAGATATCTAACATTCAGACATGGAGCAAACTCTAAACATTTATATGTTTGTACTTATGTCAAATAAAGATACTTAAATAATTGTGATTATTTTAGACAAAAAAAAAACCTTTAATCAACCACTCCTCCTGCCCTAAATGTGAAAGCAAAAAGTTGATAAATTTTTTTACTTTTCTCAACCAAAATTCATTCTCAACCAAAATTCATCGATAAACTTTAAATTTTATAGTATAATCTCTTAACCTTAAATTATTATAACCATATAAAGTTTCAACTCCCTCAATTTGAAGGGTTACAAATGTATACATATATTGGCGCAACTTTTTTAAACATGAAGGAGATTTTTAAATTTCAATTATATATCTAATGAAAGGTCTATAAATAATCCATGTTAGTATGTTACTTTCAATTTTTAGCATTTATATTGGTGCCATTTTATTTGAATTATTTTCATGGAATTGTAGAAAAGATTTTATGAGAACCACCATAAAAGAGAGTCCAATTAGCTTGAGTTCACAATTATGCAAATCAGTTTGTTCCAATGAAAATAACATCGAAAGAAACAAAGTTTTATGAATTGTTTCGTTTCAGGTATACTTAGCTTTGTTAAGTTGTTATACGATAAATTGTTATTTCTTCTAAAAGTACAAGGGTGGCTTCGTTTAATGGAATAGTTAGGTACAGATTTACAACATCAAAAGACACCTGAATCTCATTGTTTGAAATATTCCAAGTTTCTGCTATTTTATTAAGTCAAAGGAGCTTTTTAATCATGTTGGATTTGCATTAAATACTGGTTGCAATGTCTTAACTAAGAATTCTGATATTCCGAAGTTTGGAATGCCAATGGTAGAAACAATTATTTTCATCATTGTGTCCCATGAAGACCTCTAATTTTATTTTATATAATAATAAATTTATTACATGAAAATAATTAAGATTAATTAGAAAATAATTAAGATTAATTTTTTTGTTTGTTTTAGAGAAATCTAAAGTAGATAAGAAGTCTAGAAAACTTTTTTTTATACCCTATATAAGTATAGCCCCTAAAAGTGACAAACTTACCCTCTCTTTTAGAGTTATAACAACCCCTTGAAAAAAACAATTTTTAAATCAATATCTTGTTACTCTCCTTAAAAAATTAGTTACACCTACTAAAATTCTAAACTTAAAGTGATTTAAATTTCTAATACACCTAAGTCTCTTGCAGAAATAATAAGGAAAAAACAATAAATACAATAAAAACCTTTACACAACTACTTGTATATTATAATATTTATAACTTATAAATCCACACAAAAAGCTGCATTAGTGGATTTCAATTGTTTACCATAATCTGTATGTCCAATCCTTTGCTCATACCAAAACCAACATAGTATAAGACATTTTGAACAACCAATATGTGCACTCTTAACCCTTCAAAAAAATTTGGAGGTAATAAGCAATAGGTATTAGATTAGTTTAAGTCCTTAACACATCTCTCTCTGAAATATCTATTTTTTCTTTAAGTTTTTCAGTATTGTTGCCAACCCTATCCCATGATAACCACCAAGTAAGATGTTCTTTGAGCCAATTTGCAAACTGAGACCAATGATTTAAAAGTAGTCTACCAAGTTATTAGTAAGCAGTATCACAGTACTTGTACTTTTATCAGTTGTGTCACAATCCCCATAAGAGGATGTAATTCTGGTGGTAGAACTGAGTGATGAATTTCATCTTCAGGATTTTTATCAAAATAAAACAAGTCTAAGATTATTTACATTTTAAAAATCTTTCATCTGTGATCACTTTGGCGCATTTTCAACAAATAACTTGTATTGATGATCAAAAGACCTCTTTCTAGGGAACATTCACCTTCATACCACAAGCAGGCATTTAGCAGAATGAAATAATAAATTAAAGATGCTGTTCGCACATATAAATCAAATGCAAGGTGATATGCAACATTATCTATGTGATCTATTTAATCTACTTAAGACCTTCTGTAGATTTCTGTTGTCTTCAGAAAAATATGTTTACCAATAGCAAGAATAAAACACTTCCTAACCCCACTGTCAATGTCAATGTATATCTCATTTTAATTGGTCTTATCAAAGACATTTAAAATTACTTTCAGAAATCATTGACCTCCATCAATGGAGACACATACCATACTGGAGTGAGGATCAAAGCCACTTTCCATGATAATGATAAGAATAAATACTCAAAAAAAAAATTATTTTATATTTAGATTCAATTTCTTGTTGTAGTCATGATAACTACATTGTTTTCAACAACAGTAGACAATCTTACATTTTTGCGCAGACTTGATATAAAGTTTTTTCAATGATTTTTTGTTAATTCCAGCACAGAAGTTAATTCCAGCACTGTTAAGAATGATATCTGATTAAAAGATTTATTAGAAGATTTATTGTCTTTAGTTATGACAGTTAAAGTTAATGGATTTCCACTTAAAAAATATATTTAAATTATCTAAATTTTTTACTTATCCTTAAATTAAACTTACAAATCAAATGTTTAAAAAGTTGTTTTAAACATTTGATTTGTAAATTTAAGTTAAGGGAAAATTAAGTGCCTTTAATTTACCTCTATGAACATGTACAATGAAAGTAAAAGCTTATATATCTGTAGATATTTTTAAAAGGCTGCCCCCTCTTAATGCCTTCTTGCTCAATCTTGTTTTTAATTATGTTGGAAGCAACTTGCTTGCATGATGTGGGATAAAGTTTTTCTGACAAATCAATTAGATTCAAAACAACTAGAACAACAGTTGCTGTGACATCCAGAAGAATAAAAATCTTAAAATAATATACATTTATTATCTTATCAAAAAAAAAATTTTTTCATTGAAGTTTATAAATGAATATTTTACTTTATTATTTGATAAGTAAAGTAACTTTTAATTTACTTATCAAATAATTATATATTTAATCATAAATCTCATGCAAAGAGAGAA